CGTTGGGTCTGGGGGAATGAGTCTGGAATGGGAGAGAGAGAGAGAGAGAGAGAGAGAGAGAGAGAGCAGCTCGACCAACGCGTCTCGCGTGGATTTTACCAACCAAGGCAGCGCGCGAAGGACTTTGCTCTTATTCCCCGCTTTATTTCTGCATTTATTTGTCAAACGTACTAAGACTCGGCATACGAACCAAACTACACGAGAAGCAGCAGGGGGGTGGAATTAAAAAAAAAACAAACAAACGCAACACGTATCCGGTAGTGGTCCCACGAGAGAAACGACAGGAGTTTGGAGCCAGACGTGGAAAGCAAAGCGAAGTAAGGGACGGGGAAAAGACGGCATTTCGCTTGCTTTGCAGCACTACCCTCCGCCAAAAAAAGAAAAACCCGGAATAATGAGGAACGTTTGCTTCATTTTGACCCTCGGCTTGGCAGTCTACCTCTCCGGGGAAAGGGTAAGTTTGTGAAGAGCAACTCTAAAACGGGTGTTGAGTGGAGCGTTGTGGAGGGGAAGAAAGCAACTTGCAGGTCAACTCCAGACCGACGGATATTTTCGACATTATGATGCGAAATATCGCTTTTTTTTTTTTTAGGTCGTCTGATCAATCGTACACCGACGACGCGCTGATTCACTCAGCATCTCAAAATCGGCTGTTGAGCTAAAAAGCAACTCACGGTGTGCAGAATTTTAATCTTCGATGGGTTTAAATGTACTCACGTGTCAAGTTAAACACTGCTTGGATGCTTATTTAAAAAATAAATAAATCAAGGCGTCACGTGCCATTGATAACGTGACGTCAGGAAAGAAACGCTTAAATCTCATAATAAGCATGTCTTAAAATTCGAGTATGACTTTCAGTGGAATACAAATAAACCAGCTGAAATCACGTTTTACAACAAACTTAAGTGGTGACAGCATTACAAACACAGATTCTAATGAGATCGAGCCAATGCAAAAATATAACACACATCCTGCCGAAAAAGATGCTGATATTATTTTGATTGACACTGTCCTTTTTTCACCTTTCCTTTGTTGATCTGGATGCCAAGCAATGCTTTAAGTGGATTAAAAATAAAATGTCGGTACTCCCCTTATGCGACTATTCCCAGGAAAATTAGGCAGTGGGTAACAGCAGATCATTAAGTTAACCAACTAATAAATCAAAAATTGAAGAAATAAATTGTACACTAATTAATATGTTATTTGGTCATTTGACCAACAGTCTGGCCACTCTTGTTCTGTGCAATTAATGTTGACATGGCTCGCAACAAGTGAGTCAGAAGCGCCAACGTTACAGTTAGCTGGCTGCTCTTCACAAGTACGATTAACGGGTTTCGTCATCACAAGATTTTTGGAAAATAACTTTTAAGTGCAAAGCAAGGCAGGATACCTTCTTATTTTATCAGAAAAGAATGAAAAAGAACCGCGAATGAAAAATAACTCAAAGTGAAATTTCAGGCGCATCGTTTTTCTGTAAACACGGAGAGTGAATTACAAACTAGTCTATGTCCACATCTTTGAAAAAGAATAAATGAAAGAAAACAAAGCCAAAGCTGTCTGACTACTTGCTGTTGCTAGCTGGGCACTCGTCGTTAGCAGCTAGCTGCTGTCCTCGAACGGCGGAGACTCGCGCTGTATCGTACAGTGACGGCATAATTAACTTGCGGTTTCTTAGCATCCTACATTAGCAATTGGATATCATTTCGGGGTGACTTTGTGTTGCCGTTGGTACCATCTACGCATGCAATAGCATCTGTGATAAGGCATACCAAAATGTCAAAAAGACAAGCGAGCCATCGCTCCGCCGTGTGAGCCAACTTCAAAATAAAAGCCTGCTAAGTCTATTCTATTGGCTTTTATTTTGAAGTTTGCCTTTGCGTTGGCGGCGTGTTACATCACGCGGGTGTCTTCAAGCACTGCCTTCAAGTATCTGCGTGCAGCCCATTTCAAATTAGCCTGGTGGTTGCAGTGGCAGATTTCGCCGCCTGTCATTACTGCCGATCCCCCCCACTCCTGTTGTTTCCCTGTGGGTTGGGACTTGCCGCCTGGCCCACTGCCTGGTCTTGTGTCCAAACTGGTGGTCCAATTAGCCACATCAGACACTCCAGGACTTTGTTTTGATGTTTTGACGAGGTTACATTTGACTGTGCATATTCATGTTTGACCCTGGTGTTGCCCTCATGTGACTGTTAGCATAAACAGTCCCTGTTCAACGACACCATTGAGACAGCGCGCGTTTAAATATAGTATTGGTTACAGTATCGGATTTCATGCAAGCGTAAAAGAAATGTAGCTCGTTTTTCCCCGAGCTTTACATAGGATGTCTTGCAAATAAATCACATATACTTTAACCTGATCAGCGTCCTCGAAAGCCCCCCCCTCCGTCACTCGACACATAACATTGATTGTCTTTTGGCGCAACGGTCGACTTGTGGTAGATAACCTGCTTTCGGCTCATTTGTTTGTGTTTTAATTAGCAAACGTCATGGGCATTATTGGATGGCTATTTGAGCACGTGGATAAAACGCCATCCCTCGGAGTTGATGTCACCATCATGAAAGCTGTTGACAAAAATCAAAGCTTGGGCTCGAAAGTGTTTTGCTGCCTTCTACTCATTAAACGTTCCGTGTCGATGGAAAGGACCAATGTTTTTTTTTTAATTAATTAATTTATTTTTTTAACATTTCAGTAGACCACTAAACCAGTTTCCACTTGTTTGATCGCTCATCCATTTAAACACAGAAGTTGTGGTGGGAATAACTTCCAAATTAAATCGTCAACATTCCGTAACATACCGCAAATGAATTGTAATCTATCACATCTGTACAGATTCTCCGAATATGTACATATAAAGTAGAACGCAAAACAACCAAAACCAAACAAATATTGTCAGTAATGGACCAGAAATGACTTGCGATGATTGTGTTCAAGACGAGGGGGATTTAAGACCGAGGCAGTCATGTGGTGAACGCAATCTGAAGGTGAAAGTTCTCTCAGCAATTTTCTCAAAAGAGCCTATGAGGTCAGATTACTTTGATAAACGACTAAACTACCTTCAAAATTGTCAATAGAAAAAATAAGGAGGAGCCTTTCGCTAAATGTTACTTCAAGGGTGAACGGGCATTAAGCGGAACCCACATTTGAAAGAGTTAAAAAAAACTCGCCTGCTTTGTATTGCGATCATCTCGGGCCCGAAGGAGTTTTCGGGCTTCATTTTCCGCTTTAAATGATAGCTTTGCATCTGCTGATTTGGTGGCAATGAAATGAGCCCTTGCGGGCTGACCTTCCGCCCAACTTACACTGTGCGCAAAATATATTTTCACACGTCATTTACTTTCGGATGCACTTGGACTCAATCTCCGTGTTTGTTGATGACACTCTTTCCCAGGCTGCGGAAAGAAGACACAGGGCTTTGTTGGGAAAGCGTGGACCTTTCAGTGGCTAAATTAGGTGTCTACATGCGCCTTTTTCCTGATGAATTAAAAAAATTAAAAAATAAAAGAACACAAGATGAGCAAGCTAGAAAAAGTTTGGTGCATCAATGTTTTGATGGACGGTTGAAATGAAGTCACACGCCGTCTCATCGAAAAAGAAGCCAGATGCTGTGCTGTGACTGCAGCCTCTGCTGTTGTATATTTAATGATGAGCTTTTTATTTTGCATTAACTGAGAACTCCTCAAACTGAAGAAGCAGACCTTCCCCACCTTCCCTATTCCATGCTTGTGATTGTGCTTTATCGCACCGCTTTGGTTTCTTTTCGAAATAAATACGCCGCCGTCAAACGGGATGCCTGTTGTTGCTACCCTGCAGGGAGCCACCTCGATTTTCTGACGTCCAAACGCTTCAGGGGGCGTAATTCGCTTGGGCCCGGCCTGCCATACGTTATGCAATCTTTAAATGGACCTTAGACAAGAATCGGAAGCGATGGCCCCGCTAGACCACTGACAACGCAACCGTTTCAGTCACCCTGCTCCTTTTCCGTCCGAGCGCAAACTCCTGCTTTGTCACTCAAGCAGATGCTCACTGATCCACAAACAACAATGTTGACTCCCGTGTCTTGTTCCTGTCTGCCCCTTTTACACGGAAAGATGACATCATCGCATTGACGCGTCACAAATGAAGATTGATTGCTTGAAAGCTAGCTAGCTACCTAGCTAGCTAGCTAGCATGCAAGCAACCTAGCATGCTAGCTACCTAGCTAGCTAGCTTGAATTATCCAGGTGGCAATTTAAAAAAAAAAAAAACATTTTGATTTGCAATTAGTAGCCGGAATAATGTGTTTACGTCGATCTTAAATGTGTTGTTTCAGTTTGACTCACAGGGAAGTCCGATTGAACAAAATGTCAAGGATTGTGGCATGGCATGACAGGGCGCACGGCTGCTGTCATTTTTTTTTCCCCCCACCTCATTCAGTTCTTTCCATCTAGTTGGGGTGGGGTGGGGGGTGCACTGGGTTTGCAAACATCTGTTGGACGTATACATGTTGGTAAGGGGGTTGCTATAATGTTTCCTATACAGCCCCCGCCCCTTACCCCTATCGCCCTTCCCTTCCACCCTCTGTCTTATTGACACATTGGAAAGAGGCTTTTAGCAGTCACAAATAGTCAAGACAGTGATGACAATGTGTGTTTTTACGTGTGGACCCCCCCCCCCCCTGCAACCCCCATGTTCCTATTGTGATGCGCTTTGGTTTTTTTCATGGTCAAGTATTTAACCCCTTCAGGGACGGCGGTTACTACAGTGGACAGCTTATCATGTTATCAGGTTACAGGGTGCATGAAAGGCTTAAACATTCGACTTAAATGAGCCACGGGTCAAACACATCAACCCAAATGGAGTTTAGATGTTCTAGCAGGCTTTTCCTGACATTGTGTGCTTTCTAGGAGAACGCCTTGAGGTTTTATGCTAACAATGAGTATTATTTGAGAAGGGGAGTCTCCGACCGATGACAGAATTGTCCCTAGGTGTGGGTGTGGGGGTGGGGGGGGGGGGGGGTGATAAGTGTGAAGCGTGTCTCCCTTTTGCTGTGCAGGACTTTACCAAAAGAGGATCTGACTGCCTGTTTGTTGTGCGAAGTGTGGAAAGGATCGAAGAAAAAGACACGTAAAAGTTTATCATTCACACAAAGCTAATTCTTATTCCTCAAAAAAAAAAAAAAAATCTTCAACTTTAACGATTCAATTGTGCTCGGTCGCGGAGCCTCTCGCTTTTAAAGTTCATGAGCTTGACCGTTGCTTTTCATCTACTGTACGAAAGAAAAATACGTGTCTGGAAATGGAAAGCGGGGCAAGTTTTCATCAAAATAAGAAACACATGGCCCGGTTGCCTCATCACCCTGAGATGTCAAGGCGCATAAAAGCCGGGTCACTACAGTTCGAGCGATAATATATTTTTGGATCTACGCGAGTGCCGTTGCGCGTGTTTAAAAAAAAAAAAAAAAAAATCAAATGCTGC